GCTCCGAGGCCCACGAACGGCTCCATGCTGCACATCCCTCACGCACTTCCTGCCCCACGTTGAAGTACAACCGATCTGCGCTCTCAGGCTCCTGGGACAGGTGCAAACAAAAACTGATTCGGGCCCCGAGGCTTCTCGGAGACATGAAAATACAGGTGAGTTACTCTTCTGTTTTGATGGTAACCCCAACTCGGCACACCCCTCACGCACTTCGTGGATGTTTTGGAAACAAAATTCGGCACACCCCTCACGCACGTCGTGCCCCATGGACACCAAAGGCCATTAGTTAGCCTTCAAGACTGCCGAATCTCCCAAGTGAAGCAAATACGCCCTCGAGCATTGCAACGATATTTACCGACCCTCGTCGAGGCAGCATCCCTAACATACACTGCAAGACAAAACAATTCCAAAGCCTGTGGCTACTCAACATTTCAAGGCCGAGCTCTGCAAAACAGATGATACAAAAACCGTGCTTGATTCATTTTCACAGCAAACAGGGAGCAAGACACTGAGCGATAGAGGGACTGGTGGGGACACGAAAAGCGTTTCGACGGAACTGGAGGCATCCATGGTGCATGGGGGGCCAAGCACCGATTGAGCGGACAACGACACTGGAGCGTTCAGGACTCGCAGCGCGAGAAACTCGTGCGCCGACGCACAACGGATCGAAGGCACAGCCGAGCACAGGATAGAGCTACCACGGTGACGATCTGAAACGCCCAACGCCGTCGGACCGTGCTGAAAGATGACGCTCGGCTGCCACGAGACGCAGCACGGAATGCTGCCGAGCTTGCGCGCACGCGGCTCCAGAGAACGACCTTGCAGTGTGCCTCTACCGGCTCTCGCGGTCGCCTTTCCCCTGGGTGATTGAAGGGGCCCCAGGACACACAAATAAATACACACAAATAAAAAAAGTCCCCATATTTTCCCACATTTTCTGGGGTTCTGTTTTCCCCCCCACTTCCCATATTTTCCCATATTTTCTGGGAATCGACGATTAATTGTGTCTGTGTGTTTCTTTCCCTCCTGAGTGATCCCCTCCTGCACGGACGCTAGTAGCACGGCCTCATCCCGAAACATATCTTCTGGGCAGCACACCACGGACAGAAAACAAAGCACCAGAACCAGCTCAGAACCGCAGCCACAAGGCCAAGGCCGTGCACGGCAACAGCAACACCGAAAACCGACCGAACCGACAGCGAAACCGAAACCGAACCGAAACCGAAACCGAAACCGACAGGCCGCAAGCAGCCCCGGAGGGCGCAGCGACGCGGCAACGGCACTGTCACCGACCGAACCGAACCGGCCGAGCGCCACCGACTGCGACGCAGCCGAACCGGCCGAACCGCGAGCGCCCTTGAATAATGATAAAACGAAACCTACTATTAATACTACGAATAAGATTGAGAAGAGGAGGAGGAGGAGGAGGGACCTTCACGCTCACCGCCCCCCCCCCTTGCGCAACTCCTGGCCCCGCAGCCCTCGCCGCGCTCCCGCGCCGTCGGCGGTCGGCGGTCGGCGGTCGGCGCCGGCCCTCCGGCGGGGTTCGTCGCGGGCTGGCAGGGCGGCAGAGGCCCGGCGCGCCCGGCGCCGAGCACGCGAGAGTGGACCTTGGCACCCCACGGTGCCCCAAAAGGCAGAAGCACCAGGATCAGCACGGGGGAAGCGGGTCCTGACGAAAGCGGGTCCTGGACCCCGGGGCCTTCCCCCAGGACGAGCTGTTCGGCCTGAGTCGTTTCCTTACAGGCCCAGGCCCGTGGGGGGCCCCGCGAAGCAAAACACATGAAAAAGCAGGAGGACCCGTTGCCCTCGGGACCCGCTTAACCCATGACGACAGAAACAGCTCGGAGCCGCAGCCACAACTGGCGGCGCGCACAAGGGGGATGGGGGAAGGAGGAAGGCTCCTTGGCAGGAGGCTGCTGCTCAGAACGCGCCAGCCCTACATCTACAGACAAGGCCTGAGAAGCAGGGGTGCTTCCAAGAAGCCTTCCCCCCTCCCCCATTCGGGGGCGCGCAAGCATGGACTATCGATCCATGGATTTGGCGCGCGGTCGCCAAATCCATGGATCGGGGGAGCTGTGCTCCCCAAAATGTGGCCGTCGCCGCCTCGCTCGGCGGAGGGAAATCCGCGACTTCCCGTGGGAACGGGGCCCGTTGCTCATCCACGCCTAGGAAGGCACCAACTATACACCAACACCGATCCTGGCCCAGGATCACCCTGGGCCCAGGATCGGTGTATACGCCCTCCTGCCTTGCGCAAGAAGGCATATACACCGATCCTGGGCCCAGGGTGATCCTGGGCCAGGATCGGTGTTGGTGTATAGTTGGTGCCCTCCGAACGCCCCCTTTGCTCCCTGCTTGCGACCGCCTGGCCCGACCATCCTCTTCCTCCGCGCGTGGCCGACCATCGCAGGGCGCCGGTCCTCTCGGCGGGGCCCCGGGGGGCGCCCTGCGCGGGGGGCACCGGCCGCGGGGGGGCGGCCCGCGCGCCGTGCGCGGCCTCCGTCAGCAGAAGCCGCTGTCTTGGCCCCAGGCATGCCCGCCGCCGCGGCCAGCCTGCTCCCACGGGCGGGGCGGAGGGATCGGGGGGGCTGCCGGGAGGGTCCCAGGACGGGTCACACACGTTTGTTACGTCGGCGGCTGGGCAGAGGGACTGCGCTGGCCAGTGCAGCGAAACGGGGCAACGTTGGGCAAACATGCAAGATGGAACTCTCACACACACACACACACACACACACACACACACACACACACACACACACACACACACACACACACACAGTTTTCGCGTCAGCGGCTAGGCCGAGTGACTGCGCTGGCGGAAGAGCAGAAGTAGGAAGTAGGACATACGACATACGAATGCGAACAATGCCACGATGCACGGGGGAGAGAGAGGGAACACCCGGCGAAGGCAGGAGGGAGGGGGAAGCCAGGCCCGCTCAGGAACACACACACACACAGGCCCGAGCGATGCCTAGTCCTCGTTTTAGTCCCCCCCGCGGGCTACAAGATAATTGCGGGGTCGACACCAGGCCGCGGACCAGGGCGCAGCCCCAGCCCCCAAGCCATTCCTCGAGTGTTGCCAGAAGTGCCCCAGGCCCAAGGTGCCCACAGCATTTCCAAGGAGGCCCCCGCGGCCTCCACAGCGCCCCTCACGAGGCCCAGAGGGCCCAAGGGGCTCCAAAATGAAACGAGAAGCTCGGGGCACCCTGGGAGGGGCGGAAGGGGAGGACTGAATGCAATTACAGTCGATAAGGAACGAAGGGGCTTTAATGACCACGGCGAGCCTCGGTCACGGCAAGGATCCCCGACCCAGATCTAAGGAAAGGCCCGAAAACCAGAGCAACACCTGAAGTGGTCCTTAAGTTCAACGTCTTGATTGTAGGGGGGGGAAGAGGCCGGGGACAGCGGGGGAGCAGGAAGGTGGGTACGACCAGCGAAGGCGAGGCAACAGCACAAGGAAGAACAATCGGGGGAGTGCACAAAGACGGGATCTGGCACAGCGTGCGCCACGCACAATTGGTGCACCACGCCCGTACATCCTCCGAATACCCATGTCTTGCGATTCCCGCCTGAACATCGGGCTTCCCGGAATGAGATTTGGGCTGGAATCGTCTGAACACCATCGCCAGCGGTACGGCCGATACGCTATCGTCATTCTGGATGATGTCAACGCCGACCCGCGTCTCCAGCAGCACCCTCCGCAGCTGCGAACGGAGGTTCAAACACGGATGACACGCACAAGACTCCTTGTTTAATTACCCGATTCTGTCTCGCTCCTTCTCTCTCTCGCTCCCTCTGCAGGAGGGCTCAAAATCGAATCGAGAAGTCGGATCGGCGATCGGAATGAATCAGATCGGCAGAAATCGGCAGCCGAGTCAGGAGATGTCGAATCGACAGAAATCGGCAGGCTAGTAAGGCCTCCGTTGAGAAATCGGAATCCAAATCGAAATCCCCCAAAGCCGAATCGAATCGGAATCAGAAGCCATCGAAATCGAATCGAATCGGATCGGGGGAATCGAAACGAGCCCCGCTCTGCCTCTCTCCCCCCCGGTTCGTGTCGTCGTGTCTTCTTCAGCGCAGCGTCCCGACAGCACCGCGAGCGGCAGGGACGCGGCCCGCGCTGCTCGAGCCCTCGCCAGGAGGACATCCTTCGCGACCTCGACCGCTGGACAGCTGAAGCAGTGGGGCGGCATCCGCCAGCTGAGACGGAGCCTGGACGAGGACACAATCAGGTGAGGATGAATCGAGAATCCCTGAGACCCGGCGGCTCTGAATGATGCCTCGGGCGCCGCGGCCCTCTGAGCGCGTTCCCGAACGAGCGTTCCGGAAAGCTCTGGAACGGATATATACTCGTCCTAACCCGCCCGACCCTCGGACGCCAGGCGGCACCCGACGCTGGGCCAATAAGGGGAATCTGAGGTGCAGAGGTCCAGCACACCAGGGGTGTAGCTCTCTGGTTCGCACGCGCCCCAAAGAAATCCATCACCGCGCATGCCCCCTGGCACGTTGGGGCGAGTCAGAGTTCCCCTGTATTGTTTCGTCAGGCTTTTAGCAGTTTTCCACATGCGGACCCTCACTGCAAATTCCGCCGAGAGACCGCCCCTCCTAGGCGGCTCACTGCCGCTCTTTCTGGCCCCAGAATGGGGCCGAGGCGGCTCCACAGACAACCTCGGAAAGCCCCACGACGGCTCGCATACCCTTCCAAACGGCTGTAAGACTTCAAGAGCTGAAGGGCAGCCGCGAAACGGCCCCACATGGTCCCCAAGAGGCCCCCAGGAGGCGCCAGAAAGGTCCATGAGCTTCCGAGAGCCCTCCAGGAAGCAAATCCCTGCGATATCAAAACGTATGAACCCAGCGCGACACTGATTGGAGTTAATACCTTGGTCGAGGGCATACATCGGCCACGCAATTGCATAGCATTGCGCAGCATTGCATACCATTGCGTGGTTTAGGATATGCTTAGATCGCATCGCATGACATTGTATGGTAGGGCATGGCCCAAAATTAAATAGCATTGCATGGCGGCATATGATGGCAGCATCGCATACTGTTGTATAGCGTGGCATACCATTGCAGAACATGGCATGACCTTGTATAGCAGGGCGTAGCGTGACGCGGCACAGCATAGCATTGCATAGCACTGCAAACCGTTGCATAGCGTAGCCTTACATATAGTATAGCAGCTCGCGGCACATCAAAACATAGCGATCAGTCGCAGAATGCAAAATAAGATGGCACATGCTAGCATGGCGTCGCATGTCTCAGTATCGCATATCTGAAAAAGGGGCAACTAAGAAAAGCTACCAACGGCACGGTCAAGGAACGCAATGCAAATGAAAACAAACACAAAACACATCAAAGCAAACTAAGGCAAGAAAGTGAGACCAAACGCCCCTAGCGATCCAAGCGACTTCTGAGGGCCCCGAGCGATCCCCGAAGGCACAGAAACCAGGCCATCCAAGCGGCCCCCACTCGAATAATCAGAGGCCGAAAGCCCCGAACGACCCCGGGGCCAAGGGCAAACACAACTATAACGACCGGGCCATTTGCACGAAAGAGGTGGGAGCAGCTTAGGCCAAGCCTGGATGGAGATTGAACAACGCTGACGTGATGTTCTTCTCGTCGTCATTGTGGCGCAAGAGCCCGCGAGATGCCACGAAATACAACCACGACGCACCCCGAGCGGCTGTCGAAAGACCACGACTCCTAAACAACTACAGATTGCCCGAGGATGGCCCAAGACAGCGATGGGACTCTCCAAAACCCCTGACGACGCACCACGTGCGGGCTGAAACCAAGCATGGGCGTGCCCAAAACCACCTCAAAATGTTCCCGCAGCTTCTCTCTGGATGAGCTGGAGGGACCCATCGCGTCCAAGAGCATCTTGGGGACTGGCAAACCTCCTGAAACCATGGGGCCATGTTGCAATCAGGCTGCAGCATTCCCTCAACCAACTCGCTCGGCACTTCTCTGGCACGGTAGCGGGATTCGCCACAGGCAGCTGGATCAAAAACTACACTCCTGGCCAGAATTTCTGAGCCCACTCATGCAACCTTCACCGAGCCGCGGCCAGTCGTAGCGGCGAGATGCCCAAATCAACGAGAGCGTAAGCACGAGGACAAGATACAAAAGCCCTGCTGAACGACTTCGAGCAGCCGCCGGTGCCTGTGCACGTCAGCCCCTCCCTCCCCGCCCCCCGTGGGCCCTCGACCCGAGCCTGCCACTACCAAGGGCAGGGGCGCGCGCCGCCGGGAACGGCCGAGACAGCCAGGTGATTTCGAGGGCACCTGTCCCCTTGCGCGCGGGCGCGAGCTATCCACCGTCCCAGCCTTCCCTATAAGACCAACCTACGCTATGAGGCAAGAGCAACGGCAGCTGAAAACACCGAAACCTGTATGGGTTCGTTTGCCTTGTTCTGTATGTGTGTGTGTGTGTTCGTATGCGTGTGGTTATGTCTGCTCGTGTGCAATTACGTGTGCGTGTATACGTGTGTATACATATATATATACACACATATAAAGATGTGTATATATATATATACCAAAACCACACGCGCGCGCTACGCTCGCGCGCGCGCGCGGTTAGGTTCTTGTCGCAGATGAGCCACGGGTGCCGATGTAAGCCCCGTTGTGGCCACAATGACGATCTCCAGCGTTCTCGGGCCCATGCGATCGACGCAAAAAAAACGCGTAGTCAGAACGCGGGGCGCCACGTTCCCGCGTATCTCACAATATCGATGCCGCTTTTGTTAATTGCGATGTTTCTCTATTTTAACATCCGCTCGGCCCCGTCGTGACAGTCAACGATTTTGAACACACACATATATATATACATACATATGTATGTATACGTACATGCATACATATATACATACATAGATACATGCATGCATGCATGCATGCATGCATACATACATATTTACATACAGACATACATACATACATACATACATTTATGTGTATATATATATATATATATATATATATATATATATTCGGTCTCCCCATGCCCGATCAGGCAAACATCCGCAGGATCCTGATGTTGGGATTGGCTCGGAGCCTCGTTGCACACGCTTGGGAGCGCGTTGCTTTGTTTCCTCTTCCTTGTGTTCCAAGCTTAAGTTTTCAGTGGTCGTTCAGCTGTCGGGTATCTGCAAAAGGCGCGCGCAGATGTCCCGGTCATCAGCGCCTTTCTCTGCAATCAATTGTTGCCGGCCGACGATTATCGCACCCGTGGGGGCAGAAGGTTCGGGCTCACGGGGGATACTCAACCATTTGTTTGGCAAATCCCATGTATGGAGCTGCCTGGAGCTCTGACGGGGCCTCTGGCGGTACCTTCTTGGCGCTCTGGCGAGGCCTTTTTTCAGGAGGTGGGGGGGGCACGAAACCTGATAAATGATAGCATATAGCCACACACACACACACACACCGCTCTCTCGGGCGGGTGCGCCCTGCAAGGGAGGAGCAAGAATCGCGTGACATAACATGGTGTAGGGATGCTTTGCTCTCTCAGGAGGGGGGTTCTCTGGCGCTCT